AAACACAAGCGTTTTATCGACCAATAATATATTAATTCACTCAAATTTTCTAGAATGTTGCTTTAAGATAATAATAAAACACTATCCTATTTTTGAGATCTCGAAATCGGCTTCAATACTAGCGGGGTTTCGGAAAATGTTATAAAAAGGAGTCGCAAAACTCATAATTTCAATCGATATAGATATATTACCATAAAATCGAGGAAGCAACGGAGCAATAAGGAATGTCAGATCTCAATTCCAAGATATTCAACAATATCAAGTGAATGGCATCAACACTGATACTATTTTGTTGTCATCAATCTTCAATAGCAAGAAAATATCATATATATCTGCTGTAACAAGAAATATCAAATGAGCATTGATTTTGAGGAAGCATGGTTTGGTTCTTCGCGGTGTTGCCAATTGCTTGATACTGTTTCGTATTCCTGAAATTTGGGACACAAGACCATCATACCCTAAAGACTCCTGTAAAACCTGCGCAAAATATCGGAATTTTTCAATGGCACCGACAGTCAATTGTTCTTCTCAGGACTCACAACAAACGATTCGTTGAAATCAATTCTCAACAAAAAAGTTGGAAAAAGTCAAATTATATTCCTCAGTTTGCTTTGTGGTTGGGATGAGAAAACGTTTGATGTCAGTGCTTTGATGAACTATAGAAAAATGTCATTAGGAAAATATCGTGTTTCATTTTATTCTTTGAGCGCTGAATAGTTTTTCTGGAATGCTAAATCGGTTCGGTATGTGAACGCTTGAATACCATCAGGATAAATCATTTTTAAAATATCAATTCACCAAGTAAATACTCGAAATTGAGGATTTCGACTTTCAAGAATTTCAATTTGGATCTCATAATCTAGAAATGTTACTCAAGCTTTTGGTTATAATTAAACGAACATAATCACCCTCATAGATCATAACTCATAATATGAACATTTTGTGGAAATTATATTGAGGTTTTCGTATTAATATAACTTATATTAATTGAAACCTCATTATTTTTGCGTGTCACTCATGATTCAGATTTTGGACCCTTTAGTCTCATGATTTTGACTTGTAGCAAATGACTCCAAATTGTGACAATTCTATCATTCCGAATTATAACCGAGAACTATAAATCTGTTACTGTAGCTCATAATTATATTGTTGAAAATCATCTGAAAACCATGTCAGTCACTCTCATCGATCATGACTAAAAGTCATGACTATTTAAACTTGAAATCATAATTTATCGAATGAGATGTATACATAATGTCCCAAAAATGCTGGGACACAGAGGTACTACGTGTAATACAAGTCAAAATAAGTTGATTGAACCCAATTTCTTTTTAAAAGAAGAAGAACCGTTTGCCCGTGAAATTAGTTCAAAGTACACTGTTCAAAAATGAGTGAAAAAAATTGGATGAAATTCGAAAAAAAGTGCATTTTAGACCTAAAAGAAATTCTATTAGGACTGAAACCACTCTCACCCCCTGACATGTTTTCCGAAATAATACTAATACAAAACTTTCACAGGATCAATAGTATGAATCTCGCTTAAGAAATTTGAGAACCCTATTACCACCCCTAAGGATGTTCTGATAAAAATTCAGGATATGAGGGAATTTAAACCCTTCTAAGATTTCTCTCGGGTTTCTTTGATAACTTAAAGAAGGGTTATCCACTGAAATGCAATTTTTTCTGCAACCGACACAAAAGTCGTCCATTTTGATACCAAAATCAGCTCTTAAATTGACGTTTTTATTACTGATACAAAAATAGGTATGTTGCTAGGCAACATATTTAGTTCCTAGGAGCTAAAGTTGAATTTTAGTTCCTAGGAGCTGAAGTTGAACTTTAGCTCCTAGGAACTGAAAAGGATGTACTGTTAGTCATCAAGGATGAACAACATTGTTACGGTTGGTTATTTGGGTTGAGACGCATACCTGATTTGTTTTCGATTTCGGCAGATTTGGCATTTCATACCCATGCTGAACATAAAAATACACCTTATAATACTTAAGTATTGGAATTATAAACATCTCAGTTGAGTATTTCTGTTTTGATAAGGAAAGCCTTCAAGATTCAAATACTTGCTTGATTTGTATTTCATTCGTTGTTCTCGGGATGGATAATTTGTTTTTGAATAATCACGGCAAGCCATAGTTCGGTTGTCTCAAACAACGATATTGTTTACCTTCATTTGATTATCAAGTAAAACACAGTGTAGTATGGAGAGGAATAAATAATCGCTATTATTATTGTTGATATGCTCACTAACCTAACATTTTCCACGTCTTGTTCCTATAGCTGGTACTGGCGCGGTATTTGCCATTAGAGCACCTGGTCCATACACAGATATGCCACTCTGTGGTTGTATTTATATTGAAAATACAATCCGAACATCCTTGAAAATTGAATAAACCTGCTGTTGATGCAGGTAGAATATTCTCACCACACAGGTTTTTTGTCAATATTTGTTACATTGCATACATATGGCACAGTATTGGTGGTTACTTCATATATTCATTTGAGTTAATTGTTTCGGTTGCAGAAAAAATAGCATGTTTCATTCGGATCAAAAGTGACTTTGTTCGACTCGCAAATTTTGCTTCCGCTCGGCTTCGCTTAACGCTCCGCCTCGCAAATGCAAAATTCGCTTGTCAAACAAAGTGTCACTTTTGATCCTAATAAAACGATCTACTATTTGTCGAATTTCATCTCATTTATTTCACTAATTATTGAACAGCGCACAAAAATATGTTCTTCAATGTGAACTTTGAACTCGTCTCACGGACAAACGGTACATTTTTTATACAAATAAGTTATCTCCAATTACCTTATTTTGAACTGTATTTCACGTAATAGCTTTGTGTCCCGACAATTTTGTGCTACTTTCAATCTAACTTGGCCTAAATAATCCTTTTTCCTGAAAAGTATATTTTTGGAAAATTACTTGAGTGAAAAAAAAAATTGACTCCTAGCAGGAGTTGAACCCCAGTCACCTCCGTGGAAGTTAGATGCATATACCACTGAGCTATCATGTATTGTGAGTGACGTCACCTGACCTCGATGTTTCAGAGGGCTCTGTTATCATACAGCGCTCGACAAAATAGCGTGGGATAAAATAGCTCTCGGATATTTCACCGAGGGTCAAAATCGCGAGATATCAGAGAGTTGAAGTAATCACTGTACGTTGACCTCCACGTAGACGTTAATGTACGGAAAATAACGTTACATATTATCTTCAAATTGAGTTGAAGTCGTGATTTGGTCGTCAATATCATTATCGTAATGTAATAATCAGAAATAATACATGATTTCGATCCAGTCTTCAAACAGACATGAACGATGCCTTGTTGACAAATCTGATCGATGTTATTGATTATAGTTTCTAGGAAGAAAATTAGTTTAGGCCGACTAAGGTTAGATTGTTTAGCAAAAACGGTCTTCTTCCTCAAACAGGAAGGACATTTTAATTTCTCTTATCGTTTTTGGAATTCAGAGTGGTATAGAGGGGAATCGTGTAGCTAAGACACTTACACAGGCCATTGCAGAGCTATCGAAATATTGTTTATACCCATATTTGGCAACGGTGCATCCTTTTAGGGTATGCTCGGAGGCTATGGTTTATGTTAATGTGGCGAAGCACACATTACTTTATTTCCCTTGGTTCTCACGATGTTCTCTGAACATTACAGGAAATCCCTTTTCGTGGGAACCAGAACATAAAAAAAACGAACAATTCAGCCTTGTGATTGGGATACTTCTTGAGGTTAATTAAGTAAAGATATTTGGGTTTAAATAAAGTTAAAATTCGGCAAGACAGTTCCCTAATACCACAATTATGTCCCATGGACATCCTTAGGACGTTCTGTCGGGACACTCAGGAAGTCCACAGGACGTTCGAATTTATTACAGCGGACGTCCATTGGAAGTCTGTGGGAAGCACAAAAGTCCAACTAGGGACGTCCTTGAGGAATGTCAATGGGACAAATATCGATAACCCAAACCTATACGTACGAATTATTATTGAATTCGAATTTATTTGGGTCTCCCTAGGACCAGATCTTATGCATTACTGATGAGGACATCCAGTTGAGTTCATGATCCATAGAAGGAATCCAATAGATCATGAAGATGTTCCCAAGTATGTCCAATGGACTACGTGAAGTACATTGACGGGGAGTGTTCCGAATCGTATTCAGGACATTCTGAGGACGTCCATGGGGCGTCCATTGGAGGTTGAACTCATGATATCGCATGAAATCAAATTCCCTGTCTATTATCTATCTATTACTTAGATGAACATATAAATTATATATAGGAGTTCCTTCCGAAGTCATAACAGTTAATATACCGATTGAAACATCCGAATGATGTCGAATGTTATACGATCCTGGAAATATTCAGGGCGTCAGTGTAGAGCTATCTGAAGAAAAGTACCCTCTGGGACATTCTATGGTTGTTCTAGAAGGGAAATTAAATAAGATCTGAAGTCATGCCATAATATTTACTACTTGGGACATCCGATGGATGTCCCTGAAGGAATGTTTGAAAATGAATCACATCAGGGACATGCTAAGGACATCTTGGCATGGACATTGTACAATATATACCACGTTTGACGTCTAAAGAATGCTATTTATAGGACATTCGAAATTATATACCAGCTGGCATATCCCATGGTCTTCCTCGCTCGGACATTGCATGCAATGTACGGAATGGGACGTCCAAAGGAAGATTATTCTAGTTCCGGGATATTCAGACTTGAATTGTACCAAATATAGACGTCCCTAGGACGTTGCGTGCTATCAGGGTTGATTCTTCACTATTTTTATACTCTTTCATAAAGTGCGCCATTATTCTCACTGGCTCAAATACTTATTGTCGGTTTTTTATTATGCGCTAGTTGTTCCGCGCTATCATGTCTAGCGCTGTTTGATAACAAAGATTTCAAAGATTCGCTGGAATAGCTAGATGTGAGCAAATTGAACGCCACGTGCTTTCTGGCTGTTTTACAGAGCGATCGCCAGATGGGGTTTCGCCGTCGTGGACGCTATCTCCGAGAGACGGATGTCGATGGGACGTCGATCGTCGTACAGGGTGGGAGCTTGCAGGATGATGCCGGCAGTGCCTACGAGCACGGCCAACGTGAATATCCAGAGGAAGAGGCGGTCGAGGACCATGGCCACGTATTTCCAGTCCTCTTTTACCTGAAAGAACAGTGGGAGGTGTGTTTGATGGGTGTTCTAGTCACAGGGTGTCTATACAGGGCTTTCGAAAAGTACTGAATACAAATATTGCTTGATTCCTCATCGAAAACTATGTAGGCGCACGTAAAATACGCACATGTCAATATGATAGTTGCAATTTGATCATTGGAATGAATTCTTCATTCATTGCCGCGATGCCTGTGCATTATGAACATTCAAGAAAGTTTCCTCGAATTCAGAGATGATTTTGTTGAATATAATATACGAATACAAAACTAACTGCACAATCGAAGCTTTTCTCATTTTCCTCTATTCATAGTTTTTATGATAGAGTAATTGTCTTCTATTATAAATTCATCATAAAAAACTAAGCTCTGTTTACTACTGTACTTAGATGGAGTAAAATCCTCGCGGTGAATTGCATATACCCAATTTTTTGATAGTTCCTCGTCCAACAAGAAACTAAAAGCATGAACTTTTGGACCACCCACATAATTCCCCCGACAAAAGGGAACTCAACACTTGAAAGGCATTGTTATTTCGCCTATCCCAACACAAAATATTTCACAAAACAGTAATTTTTCCTCCAATTATTTTGATGAATAAACAAGAATTCAGGACCGTTTCAAAAACATACGTGAACCACCCAGCATGAATTAACACGAACTGACGCGTTAGTCGACAATCGCTAAAACACTGGCCTCTCTTAGGTGACGTCACGAGCTGTTCACGTCAGAGTCTGCTGGCCTTCTAATCTCGATGATACACTGTGAGAAATCCTTTTGAGTAACTGCAAATTTGGTAATGAGTTAATCTACTGAGTGAATTTTTTGAGTAAATATTCAAGGAAATCTGGGTATTTTCACAAGTCCTTCCAATAATGACAATGTTCATGACAAATTTGATTGAATAGCACAAATTTTGGAATACAACGAACAAGAAAACCATATTAGAGTGGCTTTTACTCAATCATTAGATGAAACATGTGAGAATTACTCATTCTCGAGCGATTTCACCAAATAATGGGTGAAAGGGCCGGTCCATGCGCAGTATATTGTTAGCGTCTCAGTCTCATTTCAACGTGTAAACAGTGAACAGTGTATTTGGGAATAACATAATATGCTGACCGTTCTAAGTCACCACGATATTATATGTTTCAATTATTCTATATGAAGAACTTCGAAGTAAAGGAATGACCGAATCTCTGTGGTCATCAGCGTGTGGAAGACTCAAGCCAGCTCGAAACCAGTCTCTGTTTATGTTCGGTGTCGAAACTGAGCAGAGGCCGTTTTGTCCAATTGATAACGCAGCGTCAGTTTTGATGGAAGTTGAGTGCATAAAAACAATCCTGTGCTTTCCGTTTCAGCGAAGTGAATTATTATTGAATAGAAGTACTTACTGCAAGTTCGAGCAGAAACATGTTTGGGAATACCTACTGCGGGTAATTGCGTAAAACACATTATGACATGGCTTTCAACAACATGGCCGATGATCGTGAATTGTATCAAATAATTCGAAAATTTCATTTGGATGGTGTGATACTTAAAAATTGTACTGTAGATATAGTGTTGATTTATATCCGACCACCTTGAAGTTCAGATAAATCAATATACATATTATTTTGTTGAATAGTCCATATCGCCGTTGATGTCTTTCACAGCCATGCACGGCCATGTTGCTGTGTTTGCTTTTCACTCAATAGTGACTAAAAATCAATCAAATAAGAGTTTTCCAAATCAGAAATGAATAGATTGACTCATCATTGATCACATTATTTCCAAATTAGGTATATTGATTTTGGGTGTATGATAAATTGGCATTCATCATACTGATTGAATATTTCAATTGTGATCATTCATGAGATCGATAAAATATTTGTTTGAAACGGTTTGAAACACTCAATATTATATAAAACCACTCAAGAAATCGCAAAGCTAAAATAATATTCGAATCTGAACTGGGAACATTCACTCAATTGTGATTTGTTATATTCACTCATTCAATTATCATTTCACTCAGTCAAGTAGAGTGAATTATCAATTTGCAAGTTTGAGTGAAAATTCACTCATTTTTTTTTTCAGTGTAACGATTGTGGGCCCCTTGGTATATACCGACCTTGGTCGAGTCCTCCTCTCTCCTCGTGTGGTCTGCGATGAACCTGACCCCGTCGATGGCCTTGTGCACCTCGGGGCACCTGTGCCACGGAAGAGGTTCGCGCAGCAGCATCTCCTCCAGGTGCTCGGACAGGTGGCCGACGCCCAGAGGGTCGACGCCCGTCTTGGCGTCCGTGAGGTGGTGGTAGGCAAGGCCGGGCGGAGGGGTAGTGCCGTGGATGCTGCACGAACGTAGGGCTCCGGCCTCCAGTTCCCTGGAATAGGCGGGAAGTTGTTCGTAACGAAATCTAGGTGTCTATACCCTCTACCTATACCCTCCGAATATATAGTAATTTTCTCAACAATGCGAATGCCGTTGACCCGAACGACGCAAAGCGAAGCAGGTGTTCTCGAAATAATCAAGAATAAAATCAAGAATGAACCATCAAGTGGTGCTGATAAGATATCTGGTATTGTCATTAGAAAAATTGCGAATTTTATAATAGGAGCGCTTTCTCATATAATTAATACTTCTTTCGAAGTGGGAGTGTTACCTCATCAACTGAAGGTCTAGATTGTCTCTCCTAGGCTGTGTCAAGTCATTCGTTCGACCACAGTGGTAATACCTGGTTGGTCAATGGTTGACTCGACTTCCATCAAAAGCTAACGTGGTAACTTTGTGGGCAGGTTTGAAACGTGACCGATATTCCCAAACAGCTGGTTGGTCAGACTGATGGTCAGACTTCATCACACTGAACGTATGTGCCCGGTCAAACGACAGACTTGACACAGCCCAATTTTGAAGAAGGGTGCTGCTGAAATGATGTCGAATTACCATCCAATCTCCCTATCACCAGTTTCGTCAAAAATATTTGGGTATACCATGCTGAAGCAGATGTTGATATCTTTTGAAATTCATAAAGTAATAATTGATAACCAAATTGGTTTTCGAGCAATATTTTCAGCTTCAACAGCTTCGGGATCGTTTTATAATGAAGTTCTGAATTTGGTCAACCAGGGCGAAAACTCGATTGGGATATTCTGTGATCTCGGTCGGGCTTTTGACTGTGTTCAACACAATAGTTTGAAAGACAAGCTTTATGAAATACGGTATGATGGAAAAAGCGTACGAGTGGTTATCTTTGTATCCAGACAACAGATTAAAATCCGTCGTGATTATCGATAAAGGGAATACATATTTGTCTGATTTTATGGTGAATGCACATGGAGTTCCACAGGGATCCATACTTAAACCCCTGTTATTTATCTTTTCCTGTTGTACCAGGGTCTTTCACCACGTATTAGGCAGATAATTCATCATTTCTGTTCAGTCAAAAAGAACATTTTAATGGCCAAAATTATGAATGCTTTGTTGGAATTTTCTGCCTGATCTAGTGATCAATCCTTGTTGGTTCATACAATTAACAAAAATTTATATCATTTCATCCTTACCAAAAAACTCACCTAGCTCTTATACAGGGTGTCCTTAAAAGGTCTTTACAAAAAGCTACCACATATTCTTCAGACCAAAACAATTCGATACAAGCAAACTTACCTCAGTAAAAAGTTGCTTAGTTTGGGCGCTAGACGGCTCTGAAGTTGAAATTTTCAAATCGATTTTGCTTCATAACTTTTGAACGGCTCATGAGATTTTTTTCAAATTTGGTACGTTGGCATAGACTCATCGGGCAATGAAACTCATATCATAATCATAATGAATATCATTCCATGGGCGTAGAACTTGATTTTTTCAGGAAATAAACATCTAAAACTCCTACGCCAATGGAAAAAAATCAGTTTCAATATGAAATCTAAATTATTCAACTCATTCACTACAAAAAAGGTACTCTTGACAAAAGTCGATTCCTCTCATGGTTTCGACAAAATTTTAATTTTAGTGATTTAGAGCATAATTAATAATAAAACGATTAACAGATATTTCATAAAAATTGTTCAAAATGTTCACCATTTTCACGTATACAAAGATTTATACGACGCAAAAAGTTGAAATGTACTCTTTGCATAACTTCTTCATCGCCTGTAAGATTATTCGTCGCCTGTTGGATACGTTGCCATAATTGTTCTACAGTATTCACAGGGGTCTTGTAAACCGTAGACTTGAGATAACCCCATACAAAATAATCCATCGGTGTTAAGTCTGGAGAACGTGGTGGCCAATTCACGGGTGCATCATTACCTCTACCCATCCATCTGTCTGGGTACTGTTGGTTTAAAAAATTCCTAACATCCACCGAAAAATGTGGTGGAGCTCCATCGTGCATAAACCACATATCTACCCGATGTTGGAGTGGTAAATCTTCCAACAAATTTGGCAACGTATTTCGTAGATGTTGTAAATACATGTCTCCTGTTAATCTTTGTGGAAGTATGACAGGACCAATTATAAAATTTCCTATTATTCCAGCCCAAACGTTGATTTTGAATTCGTGTTGAAAATGGTTTATTTTAATGGAATGAGGATTTTCAATTGCATAAACGTGTTCATTATGAAAATTAGTTATTACTCTTCTCGTGAAACAGGCTTCATCAGTGAACAAAATATTCTTTCCAAAGTTCAGATTCATTTCTCTTTGCAAATTAATGAACCTACAAAACATCAGACGACTTTGTGAATCATGGATTAATAAATCTTGAACTGGCGTCTTGTGGTATGGGTATAATAATTGTTCTCTTAGTACTTCATGAACGGCATTCCTAGAAACTTCTAGTTCATTACTTATCCGTCTAGTACTCAATTCTGGATTTTCTTCAATACGGTCTAAAATTTCTACTTCGACTTCGGGAATCCTTACATAACGCTGTCTTCCATAATCACCAGTTCTAGGAGCAAAATGACCGGTCTCCCGAAGACGTCTCTCAACTGCAGCAAAGGTTGGGTGGCTTGGTACGCGACGATTTGGAAACCTTGCCGAATACACCCTCACACTCTCTCGACCATTTCCTTGACAATATCCGAATACCAATAACATATCGGTGTATTCTTCATTGGTGTATTGTACGGCCATGATAAATCAGAAAAGTCCGATATCAACAATCAACGTCAATAAAACTCGACAAATCAACACAGATGAAACTATGGAAACCAAGAATGTGAATATCACTGTTTTCGAGCAGATAATAATAGTCTTCAGAAAAAAAAACCAGTGCTACTTATTTTCAATAGAAATAACCTATGCAAAAAGTACATCTCAACTTTTTGCGTTGTATAAATCTTTGTATACGTGAAAATTGTGAACATTTTGAACAATTTTTATCAAATATCTGTTAATCGTTTTATTATTGATTATGCTCTTAATCACTGAAATTAAAATTTTGTCGAAACCATTCGACCATTTGTCAAGAGTACCTTTTTTGTAGTGAATGAGTTGAACAATCTAGATTTCATATTGAAACTAACTTTTTCCATTGGCGTAGGAGTTTTAGATGTTTATTTACTGAAAAAAGCAAGTTCTACGCCCATGGAATGATATTCATTATGATTAGGATTTCAACTTTTTGCGTCGTATAAATCTTTGTTCACGCGAAAATAGTGAACATTTTGGAAAACTTTCATGCAATATCTATCAATCGTTTTATTATTTAAATATGCGCGAAATCACTAAAACTTAAATATTGTCGAAACCATCAGAGTAATCGAATTTTATCAAGAGTACCTTTTTTGTAGTGAATGATTTGGGCTATCTAGATGTCATACTGAAACTGATTTTTTTTCATTGGCGTAGAAGTTTTAGATGTTTATTTCCTGAAAAAATCAAGTTCCACGCCCATGGAATGATATTCATTATGATTATGATATGAGTTTCATTGCCCGATGAGTCTATGCCAACGTACTAAATTTGAAAAAAATCTCATGAGCCGTTCCAAAGTTATGAAGCAAAATCGATTTGGAAATTTCAACTTCAGAGCCGTCTAGCGCCCAAACTAAGCAACTTTTTACTGAGGTAAGTTTGCTTGTATCGAATTGTTTTGGTCTGAAGAATATGTGGTAGCTTTTTGTAAAGACCTTTTAAGGACACCCTGTATATTACTTGACAACTCAAACATAACAAGGAAAGCAAATGTAAAATTTCTGGGTGTATAGTTTGATTCAGATTTGTCCATTAAAACACACTGTGTAAATCTATTCAAAATGTTGAACTCCGAATGTTTTCAAACTAGAAAATTCAAGAAAAACACTCAAAATGAATCACATTCGTTCACTTTTCTTTAGTGATATACAGTCTAAGGTTAGTTATGCGGGAATGGTATTTTGAGAAGCTCTCCTCATTCTAAAATGTCATCAACATCTCATTTGTAGATTCCTGCCCAATCAACACACGGACATTCGATGGACATCCATTGGACGTCCATTTAGGATATTTGGGATATCCAGAGAATATCCAGTGATATCCGATGTATATCTTATGGACGTCCAATGGACCTGCCGAGTGGAAGGAGTTGGACTTCTATAGGATATCCTTCAGGGACATCCATAAGACATTTTTCAGGGATATCCATACGATATTGTTCACAAATATCCATAAGACATTTTTCAGGGATATCCATAAGATATTGTTCACAAATATCCATGAGATATTTTTCAGGGATATTTACTAAATATCCTTAACAATATAGAACACCATGCATATTATTCCATAATGAATTAGGAACTATTATAACGAATTCAACGGTACCGGATTGGATAGGGTTATTTCAAACAATTACGAAGATATTCGCATTTGAAGTTTTCATATGCTCATTAAGGATATAGAAATGTGAATATCTTCCTAATCGTTTGTAGAAATCCTATCAAACACAGTATCATTGAATTCGCTATGATAATCCTTAACCGATTATGGAATGAAATCCAGGGTGTCCCGTTTGAAAATGCCATCCTCGGTTAAAGTGCCAGTTATGAAGCAAACATGTAGGTACATACAACACAAATGAATAGTTGATCTTTGTGACATTTATTTGAAAAGTACAACTACCAAGGACAGGTTTGACATATCCAGAAAAGAAGTTGCTCGTCCACCCTGTTTGTGATAGGAAAATTGAGAATATTCATTAAATGTTTCATATAACTGCTCTTCATTTTTTTCTTAAAACAGGGCATCTCATCTATAGGAATACTGATTGTATTAGTTCCTCTGTTGATTGCTTTTTGTGTCAACCAAGCATATTTATATCTCTGGAAGATCCCACATTCTTCCTGAAAACAATGATATAGAGTTGAGTTTCAGGAGTTTACCAATATCATTATTAGGGAGAGTTC